ATAAGTTTCACATGACTGGGCAGGGGCGCAGCCATGGGTCGGCCTGGGAGGGCATAGGCCCACCTACCTTGTCCCAGACCTGCTGTTTTCAACTCTCTCTCTCTACCGCACCTGCTATTTCAACCTCTAAATGCCCTGCTATGAAAAGGCAAGTGACATTTACTCCTGATGTAGTGACCTGTTGCAACCTCTACAACCATTGTGATTATTATTTGACCCTGCTGGTTGTCGTGACGTGACTTGTGATGACTGTTATTTATCGAATCAACTATGTTTAATTGTCACTCGATTAAATTAATAATGTAACAATTATCTCATTAGGAATTTGGGGCACCACGGAAGAAGTTGTTTAACGAGTTATCATCTCCCGAATTAAACTCTTAGAAGATATATATAACAATCACTTATTAAATCATTACCTCATCAGTCTCATTCTGAACGTCGCAGAATCCTTGAACCTGCAAGAACCCAAACCGTATTGATTAATCAGTAATACACAAATTGGCTTAATTATTTATTTACTAACTAACTAAATAATAACACAGAATACAAACACACACATGGTATAGGTTACTGATTACTAACGTAATACAATGAAAACAGGTCCCTAGTGGACTGGACTAACAATAGCATGACTGCTTGGTTAGGGGAAGGAAGGGTCACTAGAAAGAGAGTGAACGGGAGCGACAGAGATTCAACTTATCGTTGTAACATTTGGAAACCACCGCTCATTCGGATAAGAAATGCAATGCATATTTACGCGTAGTTGTCCTTGATCATCGTCTCTCTGTTGAACCACTTTCTCAAAAAGGGTTTGAGTGTCCATATCCCACTTCGGTGAGACTCGGCTTGTCTTCGAATGGAGTGTTTGATAGAATAGATACTTCAAATGTACCAACGGTTGTCTGAGAGGGATTGTCCTTCCCAACTCTTTAGGGAATGTTCTAGAATACTTTACATGCCAGCTGCAGACTGATATGATAAGGTCTAGTACGTTTATCTGCTTTTTCTCATGTAGAGATTGAGAGTTTCAGAGTTTCACCATTTAAAACGTATGGACTAACGTCTCATGTTTTCTGGTCTTTCTGGTCTAACCATTTTAAGCCATGTAGCCACCGCTCCACGCTTCCTGGTCTAAATGTACATTTCGTTCCCAAGGCTTTTATCCTAGGGTAAAAAGGGGCATTCCATCACGCCGACCCAATGTCTGTGCTCACTTGGGCGTGGTTACTGACTGGCAAAAGTTTATATGAAAAACAATTATCTCATTTAGAAGGATAAAATCACATTGCTATCTTCACAAACGTATTCTCATACTTAATCATGTATTTTATACAACATTTAGATGTAAACCTGATAACTGAAATGTGTACACTTTCAGAGATACAGTTATTTAGTAATACCATCCTTAATGACATCACAAAACAATAAACAATAAGACATGATTATTCTTTGGATCCCCACCAACCATTCCAAACATTTGGATCTCAACAACAATGGTTCCAATGTCCAATCTTTTGATGTTAGAGTTTTTAGGCGGCAATCTGTCCCTGTAACACAGAGACATTCCGATCACCAATACTACATTTACATTTAAGCCATTTAGCAGACGCTCTTATCCAGAGCGACTTACAGGGCATAATATTTTTTATTTTTTTATACTACTAGGGACCAACAAGGAGTTGTTTGCTGCAAACCATTTAGGATTGGCGCGAGGGTCATATAACCCCCACATCAATCCTTCCTTTGTTCATAAAAATGACCACGGGAGAGAGAGAGATCTGTAGACTGTTGCTTCTCTGTATTCTGATCTTGGGCTTCTCACGTGGGACAATCACATGAGAGTCATGACATGGTCATCTATGAACATTTGAACATCTTGGAGAAAAATCTGGCCTTAAAGGCCATGTACTGTTATAATCTCCTCCCGGCACAGCCAGAAGGGGACTGGCCACCCCTCGGAGCCTGGTTCCTCTCTAGGTTTCTTCCTAGGTTTCTGCCCTTCTAGGGAGTTTTTTCTAGCCACCGTGCTTCTACATCTGCATTGCTTGCTGTTTGGGGTTTTTTCACTAACATGGATGTAAACACATTTCTGCACAACATTTTAGAGAAATAATATTTTTGTGCATATGGAAAATATCTGCGAACTTTTATTTCAGCTCATGAAACATGGGACCAACACTTTAAATTATGCGTTTATATTTTTGTTCAGTATATATAGACAGTATGGACAGTATATGAATAGAAAAGGTGTGTACAGTAATAGTTATATAGGATGAGCCATGACTAGAATACAATATATACATATAAAGTGGGTAAAACAGTATGTAAACATTATGAAAGTGACCAGTGTACAATGACTCTATGTACAGTGGGGCAAAAAAGTATTTAGTCAGCCACCAAATTGTGCAAGTTCTCCCACTTAAAAAGATGAGAGAGGCCTGTAATTTTCATCATAGGTACACGTCAACTATGACAGACAAAATGAGGAAAAGAAATCCAGAAAATCCCATTGTAGAATTTTTTATGAATTTATTTGCAAATTATGGTGGAAAATAAGTATTTGGTCAATAACAAAAGTTTCTCAATACTTTGTTATATACCCTTTGTTGGCAATGACACAGGTCAAACGTTTTCTGTAAGTCTTCACAAGGTTTTCACACACTGTTGCTGGTATTTTGGCCCATTCCTCCATGCAGATCTCCTCTAGAGCAGTGATGTTATGGGGCTGTCGCTGGGCAACACGGACTTTCAACTCCCTCCAAAGATGTTCTATGGGGTTGAGATCTGGAGACTGGCTAGGCCACTCCAGGACCTTGAAATGCTTCTTACGAAGCCACTCCTTCGTTGCCCGGGCGGTGTGTTTGGCATCATTGTCATGCTGAAAGACCCAGCCACGTTTCATCTTCAATGCCCTTGCTGATGGAAGGAGGTTTTCACTCAAAATCACACGATACATGGCCCCATTCATACTTTCCTTTACACGGATCAGTCGTCCTGGTCCCTTTGCAGAAAAACAGCCCCAAAGCATGATGTTTCCACCCCCATGCTTCACAGTAGGTATGGTGTTCTTTGGATGCAACTCAGCATTCTTTGTCCTCCAAACACGACAAGTTCTATTTTGGTTTCATCTGACCATATGACATATGACATTCTCCCAATCCTCTTCTGGATCATCCAAATGCACTCTAGCAAACTTCAGACGGGCCTGGACATGTACTGGCTTAAGCAGGGGGACACGTCTGGCACTGCAGGATTTGAGTCCCTGGCGGCGTAGTGTGTTACTGATGGTAGGCTTTGTTACTTTGGTCCCAGCTCTCAGCAGGTCATTCACTAGGTCCCCCCCTTGTGGTTCTGGGATTTTTGCTCACCGTTCTTGTGATCATTTTGACCCCACGGGGTGAGATCTTGCGTGGAGCCCCAGATCGAGGGAGATTATCAGTGGTCTTGTATGTCTTCCATTTCCTAATAATTGCTCCCACAGTTGATTTCTTCAAACTAAGCTGCTTACCTATTGCAGATTCAGTCTTCCCAGCCTGGTGCAGGTCTACAATTTTGTTTCTGGTGTCCTTTGACAGCTCTTTGGTCTTGGCCATAGTGGAGTTTGGAGTGTGACTGTTTGAGGTTGTGGACAGGTGTCTTTTATACTGATAACAAGTTCAAACAGGTGCCATTAATACAGGTAACGAGTGGAGGACAGAGGAGCCTCTTAAAGAAGAAGTTACAGGTCTGTGAGAGCCAGAAATCTTGCTTGTTTGTAGGTGACCAAATACTTATTTTCCACCATAATTAGCAAATAAATTCATAAAAAATCCTACAATGTGATTTTCTCGATTTTTTTTCTCAATTTGTCTGTCATAGTTGACGTGTACCTATGATGAAAATTACAGGCCTCTCTCATCTTTTTAAGTGGGAGAACTTGCACAATTGGTGGCTGACTAAATACTTTTTTTCCCCACTGTACATAGGGCAGAGCAGTATCTAAAGTTCAGGGCAGGGTATTGGGTGGAGGCCGGCTAGCGGTGAGTGTTTAACAGTCAGATGGCCTGGAGATAGAAGCTGTTTATCAGTCTCTTGGTCCCAGCTTTGATGCACCTGTACTGTCTCCTCCTTCTGGTAGCGGGGTGAACAGGTTGTTGATCAGGTGGCTGAGCTCCTTGATGATCTTCATGGCCTTCCTCTGACACCGGATGGTGTAGATGTCCTGGAGGGCAGGAAGTGTGTCCCCGATGATGCGTTGGGCTGACTGCACCACCATCTGGAGAGCCCTGCGGTTGTGGACGGTGCAATTGCCATACCAGACGGTGATACAGCCCGATAGGATGCTCTCAATGGTGCATCTGTAGAAGTTTGTGAGGGTCTTAGGGGTCAAGCCAAATTTCTTCAGCCTCTTGAGGTTGAAGAGGCTCTGCTGTGCCTTCACCACACTGTCTGTGTGAAGGGACCATTTCAGGTCGTCAGTGATGTGCACACCGAGGAACTTGAAGCTTTTGACCCTCTCCACTGTGATTCTACAGACCCTACTGAGTACTTCCCCACCCCACTTTTACATTGGCACAAAAAATCGTTTTTCCTGTACAGTGCTATATTTGTACTGTATAGTGTCCAGGCACCCCATTTTAAGCTGTTTGACCACAGTAAAAGGCCAGAACACTCAGTATTATTCAGAGCCTCATGAAATGACACCATAGAAGATTCTACAGACCCTACTGAGTACTTCCCCACCCTACTTTTACATTGGCACAAAGAATCAGTGGTTTGCATTGGGGGCATTTTATTTATTTACATATTTTACATTGGAGCATGTTTTAAAACCCAGATTTAATGCAAATATCACTTAAATATAAACAAATATGAATAATTGTTACTGTTTAGACAATTATTTTGCATACATCACGAATAAATACAGGTTAACACTTTTCTACTATTACGTAGGGGACTTTTATTTGGAACGGTTCAGAAATTACGTGACCCGGAAGTACTTTTTCCAGTGTTGCTGACGAGATGCTGATCTGCTCAGGCTGTGCGGGTGAGAACATGGCAGGCATGAGTGCGACGGGTCCTCGGTCGGCTTCGGCCGCTGGACCGGTTCAACAAGGACTTAAAGAAGCCCTGATTGAGACGTTAACAGCTATCCTGTCCCCGGTTCAAGAAGTGCGAGCAGCCGCTGAGGAACAAATAAAAGTGTTGGAAGTGACAGAGGGTAAGCATGGATGCTAGCATTGCGAGACCAGCTGATGTCAAGAGAGTGGAATGGCATGATGATAAATTCCATGCATATGGGCCTGTACGGAAAGATACATTGTAGCTAGCCAGCCACAACATACAACACAATTACTGTCATGTAACTAACTAACGTTCGCTTGCTATGATAAAACAGAATATGTAGCTAGCTAACTAACTAGTTAAGTGGTTCTCTCATATTCAGTTGGCTAGCAAGTGGCGCAAATTAATCTTGTTAGCTAACTAACTTATTCCAACTAGCTAGTTAGCAGCTAACACGTTAGCTAGCTGACAGAACAACCATGTGTGTGAAGCACACTGTACCTCCAGGATCCTTGTTTGCTAAACTTAGCAGCAATTTGATTCCATTCTCTGTGTTGAAGTGTGTCTACACATGATGGTGGTGGACCAAATCAAGAAGACACTGGCTGAAATTAAAATGGCAATTTGACTAATACAAAGAGCTAGCTTGCTAGATGGGCTGACTATGTAACGTTACAGCAGATCAGACATTTTTTAGATAACGTTATCTCGGGCCCTGCGTTGCACTTGTACTTACATAAAACTGAAAAGTGTTCAGATGAATCTATAATCAAAGCTCAAATCGTGTTAGAGTCGCTATAGCAACCATTCAATCTGGAATGTCACGTTTTCCCGCGAATTTGATATCTTAGTATTCCCGCCTTGCGACTTCCAGCCTTTGTACACTGACATCAAATGTTTGTATAACGAACCCTGTCCTGACATCATCAGTCGTTTTTACAACTTGTTTTAATATTTCAGCAAAACAACAACGTATTTTTCCTTGTTCCCCCTTTGAATGAATGAATGTTCCATCTGTCAAATACGGCACATGCCGTTCAACCCTATTACCCAATGCATGTTGAATGAATTATAGCTACCAGATATGCTATTTAGTTAGGCCAACTTTTAGAATATTGTTTTAATTCTAGACCTTCAGTTACATAGCATTGTTTAAATATTTCACATGTAATGTTAATGGGGAGCTAACATGGCTGCCATAGAATGTTGAAGTGTCATGTAAATGCATCATCATAATGCAGAAACTGCATTGGCCCAATTCTAAATACATGACTCTAGCTATGTAGCAAAATGCAGTAACTAGCTAGCTACCCTAAACCAGCTTGCCACTAATCCAAAATGCAGTGGGGGGTGAATATAGGGACAGTGTGTACAGTGCCTTTGTCTGTGGCGTTCCTCCAACATGGCTAAAAGGCTGATTGTGCAGGCTGTCTGTCGGGATCCACTGCAGTGTCACAGTAGCAAGAATGGGCCCGGCAGGCCTCTTTCTGAGGGAGCTTCTCTATGTAGAACTAGAGCTGTCAGCACTAACATTGTCTCCTGGACTCTGATGTCACTCTCAGTTAAAGCCGGGACAGAGCGTGGCACATTGGAGGGATGAGGGTCTAAGTTTAACTGACTAGCCTAAAACAGATTGGAAGAGTTCTCCAGTGCTTGTTGTAAATGCTCAAAGGTGCTTAATCGATGTAATGTCCTAAGTGCTGACCGATTAACCAAAATGTATTTTTTTGGGTTTTTAAACAACGAATTGACCAACGTTTGTTAAATTATTTGAATTCCTTTTCATTCAGTTTTTTCCTGAGCTCGATGTGCAGTTTCTCTAGAGATACATGCCCCGTGTACCTCAGTTGGTAGAGCATGATGGTTGCAACGCCAGGGTTGTGGGTTCGTTTCCTACGGGGGGCCAGTATGGGGGGTAAAAAATAAAATAAAATGTATGCATTCACTAACTGTAAGTCGCTCTGGATAAGAGCATCTGCTAAATGACTAGAATGTAATACATCTGATCAAGCCCAAACTGTGCGATGTAGTAGGGAGTTGTAGTTTCCAACAGTCCAATATTTTACATAGTTTAGCACATAACTTGGTAATTAACTACAATGACCATAATCCATTGCACGCCTACTTGTCCGGTCTGTGTGGGGCACGGAGCTGGAGAGAAGAACGTGCGATCGAGAGGGATAGAGAGCAGTTGCTTCGCAGGGTATCTCTACCTGAAAATACATGATCTGTGATTGATAGTTGGTATTCAGCAGTCATAAAAGTATGCCTTATTAACTTTGAAGAACTACATAAGTGATTTTGTCAGACAGCATAGGCAGCAGCTCTATAGAGATGAGATGATGACTTGGAATGAAATAATAAAGTCATTAAATAAAACAAATGTAATATACACAACTGAAATACTTTATTAAAGTAATGTGAATAAATGATGGGAAATAAGTGATAAGCTGTAATGGGCAGTCACTACCATCATGGGACTTTCATTAATTGTTTTATTCTGTTACAGCATTCGTCCCACAATGCATAGTGCATTTAATGTAAAACATTTTTTATCGAAATCGAAAACCGTGTTTATTTTGTAATAATCGAACTGACCTCAAATCAGTAATCGCTCAGCACTAAATGTGATACGTATGTTTTTTTCCAAATCTAAATCATATGAACATTTCGGACATTTTGCATCATAGTTTCTGATAGTGCACGTCACGTAAGGCTAATGTGATCTGATGATTGATGTGTTCCTGATGATCTGTCCACTGTGTGTTGATGTTGCTCCATTTGTGTTGAAGAGTTTGGAGTCCACCTGGCAGAGCTAACTGTGGACCCTCGGGGAGCTCTGGCCATTCGTCAGGTTAGTAAGCAGAACTGTCATTCTTGTTCTATTCTAACTAGAAGTCTAGTTCTATGGTGTGTGAGACCACATCTCAGTATCTAATTTACACTACTATATCAATCAATTATATGTGTGTGTGTGTTGTGTTCAGTTGGCCTCAGTCATCCTGAAGCAGTATGTGGAGACTCACTGGTGTTCCCTGTCTGAGAAGTTCAGACCCCCAGAGACCACAGACCGGGTAAGCAAAGCAACACATCATTCTTCCAACTAGATGAAATGTATCAGTTTTGATGGCTGGCTATTTGAAAACATATTGAGAAAGAGGAGTTATGAAACCACTGTTGCTGCCTAAAATATCTCTCTTTTCTCTCTCTTTCTCCTCTCCAGGCCAAGGCAGCCATCAGGGAGCTGTTGCCTGGGGGTCTCAGGGAGGCCATCAGTAAGGTGCGGTCCAGCGTGGCATATGCTGTGTCGGCCATCGCCCACTGGGACTGGCCCGAGGCCTGGCCTCAGCTCTTCACCATCCTCATGGACATGCTGGTCAGTGGCGATGTCAACGCAGTGCACGGGGCCATGAGGGTCCTCACAGGTAAATGTACATCCCAAATTGACCCCTTTTCCTGTGCACCGCTTCCACTCTTACCTGTTTGTATGCATGTATCGCAGTGTATTCACATCATCCCTCTGGCCTTTTCTCACAGAGTTTACCCGCGAGGTGACAGATACTCAGATGCCTCTGGTGGCTCCGGTGATCCTGCCCGAGATGTACAAGATCTTCTCCATGATGGAGATATACAGCATCCGTACCCGCTCCAGAGCCGTGGAGATCTTCTCCACCTGTGCCAACCTGATCTGTGCGATAGAGGAGCTGGAGAAGGGAGCGGCCAAGGCCCTGATCTTCCCCGTGGTGCAGCAGTTCACTGAGGCGTTCATTCTGGCCCTGCAGATGCCTGATGGACCCTCCTCAGACAGTGGCCTCAAGATGGAGGTCCTCAAGGTGAGAAGATGACCACAAGGATTTATACACCCAGGGAGGCTAGATGAAGTTGGAGTTTTGTGATCTGGAGGTCAGATGTTATTATCGGTTGTCCTGATCCATCCTTCTCTTCACCTTTATCTCTCCCCGCCAGGCCGTGACGGCTCTAGTGAAGAACTTCCCCAAACCCATGGTGTCGTCCATGCAGCAGATCCTGCCCATCGTCTGGAACACCCTGACAGAGAGCGCCGCTTTATATCCTTCACACTGCTGCAACTATGTCCTCTCCTCTTCCATCTTACGGTAGCTCAGTGTCTATTCATTCCCGTAGCATTGGTTCACATCTGTCAATAATGAATGGCAATGTTTCCTATCTGAATATGAGCTATTCACCTAGCTGTAGAGGATGATCAGGTAAACACTGGTCTGTGTCCTGGGAATGGGGTTTCCTTAACCAGCTGTGCACTTATGTCAGAACAGAGGTCAACTACACAGAGGAGGTAGACGACCCCATTGACTCTGATGGTGAGTACAACCTTACCGTCTTGTTCTTATTTTCATGCATTTAGATCACTTGTTATAGTTCATGATTGATTGGCCATCATGATTGATTGGCTGACTGTATATGTACTTTTTAAATTGTCAAATCAATCAATATGTTACATGGGCTGATCTAGAACATATAGTAGATAGAAATAGAAAGTAGTATAGAATATAGATAGTAGTATAGAATATAGATAGATAGTATAGAATATAGATAGTAGTAGTATAGAATATAGATAGTAGTAGTATAGAATATAGATAGTAGTAGTATAGAATATAGATAGTAGTAGTAGTAGTATAGAATATAGATAGTAGTAGTATAGAATATAGATAGTAGTATAGAACATAGATGGTGAGCTATTACTATATAATTTCCTCAAGTCCTCTTGATCTGGTCCAGAAGGGGTGTATTTACAGTACATTCTGAAAGTATTCAGACCCCTTGACTTTTTCCACATTTTGTTACGTTACAGCCTTATTCTAAAATAATGACAAAGCGAAACAGGTTTTTAGACATTTTAGCAAATATATTAAAGATAAAAAACATACCTTACTTACATAAGTCTCCTGTAGCTCAGTTGGTAGAGCATGGCGCTTGCAACGCCAGGGTTGAAAATGTCAGCATCCCGGAGTCGCCTCTTTCACAGTTGACGTTGAGACTGGTGTTTTGCGGGTACTATTTAATGAAGCTGCCAGTTGAGGACCTGTGAGGCGCCTGTTTCTCAAACTAGACACTAATGTATTTGTCCTCTTGCTCAGTTGTGCACCGGGGCCTCCCACTCCTCTTTCTATTCTGGTTAGAGCCAGTTTGCGCTGTTCTGTGAAGGGAGTAGTATACAGCGTTGTACAATTTTTCGCATGGAATAGCCTTCATTTCTCAGAACAAGAATATACTGACGAGTTTCAGAAGAAAGTTATTTGTTTCTGGACATTTTGAGCCTGTAATCGAACCCACAATTGCAGATGCTCCAGATACTCAACTAGTCTCAAGAAGGCCATTTTTATTGCTTCTTTAATCAGCACAACAGTTTTCAGCTGTGCTAACATAATTGCAAAAGGGTTTTCTAATGATCAATTAGACTTTTAAAATGATAAACTTGGATTAGCAAACACAACGTGCCATTGGAACACATGACTGATGGTTGCTGATAATGGGCCTCTGTACGCCTATGTAGATATTCCATTAAAAATCAGCCGTTCCCAGCTACAATAACCATTTACAACATTAACAATGTCTACACTGTATTTCTGATCAATTTTATGTTTTAATGGACAAAACAATTGCTTTTCTTTCGAAAACAAGGAAATTCCTAAGTGACCCCAAACTTTTGAACGGTAGTGGATGTATGTGTGTGTGTTTGTATATGTGTGTGTATATATAGATAGATATAGGTAGATATATATCTATGCATACGCCATTTTAAGAAACGCTTTTATCCAAAGCTACTAAGTCATGATTGCATACATTTTATGTACGGGTGGTCCCGGAAATCGAAACGACTATCCTGGCGTTGCAAGCGCCATGGTCTACCAACTGAGCTACCAACTGTGCGTTTTTCTTCCAGGTGAGGTTCTGGGCTTTGAGAACCTGGTGTTTAGTATCTTTGAGTTTGTCCACACGTTGCTGGAGAACAGCAAGTTCAAGAGTACAGTGAAGAAGGCTCTTCCTGAGCTCATCTACTACATCATTCTCTACATGCAGATCACTGAGGATCAGGTACACACTCCCTCACTCCTCTGTGTGTGTGAGAGAAATTAGTCTATGATGCAGGGTTCGCACAAGGTGCTTGAGATGTTTAAAGTACTTGAATTTGGCACTCTGAAATTCAAGTACTGGAATACCTTGAAAATCAGACATTTCTGAAGTTGGTACTTGAATTAAAATGAGAGGAGAACAGAAAATGATCTAATATGAAAAATATTAGAAAAATGTATTGGTCTTACTAATTAATTTCCAGGCAGACTACTGAGTTTTATTTCCTCAAGTGTTTCATGCTCTGGTTGCCAGGCGAGCATTGGTGAGTCGGCCCTGAAGGGGGGAAAGACACAATGCTGCATCCTGCGCTGGCGCCAGTTCTACATTGACTTTTTCTCTCCAGAGCTTTTTTGCCTCAATCGAGGGGCGCCCGCGATATTCCGCTTTATCAAGCAGCAGCTGTGCTCCTGCCGTTCTGATGGCTGTTCACGTGCCGTTTTCCTCACACAGACCTTCAGCCGAACGGCGACACTAAAGCTGGCAGTCGGAATCAAGACGCTTTTTCGTAGCTATTAAGTAGTAGATTCCCAATAAAATTCAATACAGTCATTAAGCTGGAATTGTGTAGTAATGCGAATAGGGAATGTCTGTTCGCCGGTAGGCATGTCCCAAAACTCTGCTCATCACAACTCAAATTACAACATCATCAGTACTGACTTACTGCTCATGTATTTAGTAAATAAGTAGTAAAACACATATTATTGAGTAAAACTTGTAAGGTAGTGATGAATGGTACGTTTCTTTTTTTATGAGGTTGTGGCGATATACTGCCATCTGGTGATGACTACAAACAATTGCATAATAGGAACTATTACAAATTGATGTTCCTTGAAAATAAATATTAGTGCTTGAAAAAGTACTTGAAAGTCCTTGAATTTGACTTGCCACTGTCTTTAGGAACCCTGATGATGTCATGGTTATGTGTTCCTCATCAGTAGTCTATGATATCACGGTTGTATGTGTTCCTCATCATCAGTAGTCGTGTCTCTGTAGATCAAGGTGTGGACGGCCAACCCCCAGCAGTTTGTGGAGGACGAGGATGACGACACCTTCTCCTACTCCGTCAGGATCTCAGCCCAGGACCTGCTGCTGGTGAGAACTTTAGTCTGTGGGCAAATATCAAATGGTACCCTATTCCCCATAGTGCACTACTTTTGACCAGAGTCCTAGCGTGTGTGTGTTTCTCTGTAAAACTAAAACCCCATAGTTTAACTCCTCAGTTACTTCTGCATGTTTACGTTCTGGTCAATGTGACCTTTCTGGAGACAAGACTTCTCATTCCAACCTTCCTCCTCTTCCAATAGGCTGTGGCGACAGAGTTCCAGAATGAGAGTGCGGCAGCGTTGGCGGCAGCAGCAACAAGACACCTGCAGGAAGCCGAGCAGGCCAAGAACAGCGGCAATGAACACTGGTGAGGACCACACACACACCGGCTGCATGACATGGCAAACAGTGGATGCCTCTTAATTAATAGTCATTAGTGGCTTCCTCTCCTTGTCTCCAGTTTGTCCTCGGCGCTGAACTAAATAACCGTTAGGTGAAAGCAATATGGATGCGTTTCAGGAATTTGCTTTAATCTGTCCAGGTATTGTCATGTCAGTGCAGACTGAAGAATGAAAACAAGGAGAGGAGATCACTTTCGACCAATGTCCCCTTTAAGCTGCGCGCAGGTGCTCACTTCTCCGGGACTGCCGCGCAGAAGAAATATCAGCCCGTGCAGAGAAGCATGGGGTTGAACTTCACTCAACTTTCAAGAGTTTTCCTCCTTAGTTAACACTATCAACATTTCCCTTTACTGTGGGAAATTCTGATAAAATCAACGCAATTTTAGCCTCTTTCAATGCAACATTCCAAAACAAAATGACCTATGCAAGAGATTTTGTTGTAGGCAGAACGCATCGAAGTAGGATTCTATTGCATTGACATTCTCCGACTCAGCCCCTACTCTACACAGACGGGTGTGGCATAACCAATCAGTGCTGCAGTAGGCCTATATGCAAATAGACCATTACCATATATGGAACTGTGCCATTTACTTTGAACTGGACTGTGTTTACAGCATGAGTGGTTGTGAGTAGATGCACTTGTTTTGAGATCAAAGGGAGAGCTGCATGTAGCCATGTGTCCACATTTGTTCAAATCCTTTGCTAGTTAGTGAGTTATTAGCCCAGTTATACAGTGGGGAGAACAAGTATTTGATACACTGCCGATTTTGCAGGTTTTCCTACTTACAAAGCATGTAGAGGTCTGTAATTTTTATCATAGGTACACTTCAACTGTGAGAGACGGAATCTAAAACAAAAATCCAGAAAATCATATTGCATGATTTTTAAGTAATTAATTTGCATTTTATTGCATGACATAAGTATTTGATCACCTACCAACCAGTAAGAATTCCGGCTCTCGCAGACCTGTTAGTTTTTCTTTAAGAAGCCCTCCTGTTCTCCACTCATTACCTGTATTAACTGCACCTGTTTGAACTCGTTACCTGTATAAAAGACACCTGTCCACACACTCAATCAAACAGACTCCAACCTCTCCACAATGGCCAAGACCAGAGAGCTGTGTAAGGACATCAGGGATAAAATTGTAGACTTGCACAAGGCTGGGATGGGCTACAGGACAATAGGCAAGCAGCTTGGTGAGAAGGCAACAACTGTTGGCACAATTATTAGAAAATGGAAGAAGTTCAAGATGACGGTCAATCAACCTCGGTCTGGGGCTCCATGCAAGATCTCACCTCGTGGGGCATCAATGATCATGAGGAAGGTGAGGGATCAGCCCAGAACTACACGGCCCAGAACTACTCTCACAGTTGAAGTGTACCTATGATATAAATTACAGACCTCTACATGCTTTGTAAGTAGGAAAACCTGCAAAATCGGCAGTGTATCAAATACTTGTTCTCCCCACTGTAGATACTTTGTGGTCAGCAATGGGAGAGTGATTGCTTCCTACACAAAACATGTGCATTTCTAGACATCTTTGAAAAGGGAGTCCAGTAAACGGCCCTTTAACACACAAAAAAAAGCGTGTGTTGTATTTTGAGACCGGCTTAAATAAACTAAGTAGCCATTAGGCAGAGGGTAGGATAATTTTCAGATTTTCTGTAATAATGGTATGGGAATAATAATGCATTTTATTTTGTAAAGTGGTTTCTTGCATCAAAGAACACAACAACAACATTTTCAGTCATCTCCTTGTCTGAAGAACAAGTTGATGAACAGGTTCATGTCAAGCCCTGCATGTTTTTTTCAAAAGTCTCATGGAATGTAGGCCTATGTTGAACACCACACATTGGCTGCTACTGTAGGCCGAATGATAGGACAGCTATTTCCATGTTAAAATGTTATGGGATGCATTTTCTCCATAGTTTTTTATGGTAGGCCACTCTGGTAGGCCTACATTTATGATAAAATAGCCACAGTAGCCTACTTGGCCACTGTCTGAAACTGTAACTTAAAGCGGGTACAGCCTCAGTGTTCACAGTAAACACGCGCTGGAAGTTGCACAGAATTTTCACAATGTTCAAGTTTGCGCTCAGCAGACCTGAAATTTGCTCAGTGCCTAATTTTTTTGGAGTGAACATTGCTTGCATTGAGTTGCACGCCATAGCTAAACCATCACCATGCAGTCATACTGTAGGTCAGCTCTCTCCTTACTCCTGTGTTGTACCCTCCTGCAGGTGGAAGATCCATGAGGCCTGTATGTTAGCTCTGGGCTCAGTGAAGACCATCATCACAGAGAACGTGAAGAACGGACGTGTTCAGTTTGATATGCACGGCTTCCTGGCTAACGTCATCCTGGCTGACCTCAACCTCACAGGTTAGTCAGTCTGGGATCTGTAGCTCCGCTCCGGGCAGCCGTGTTCCGTTATATTGTTCTTTCAAGAAATGTCTGATTTAGACCGGGGAAACCAGGTGGGTGGACTCCCTAGGCAATCATTGACATTGCGATCAATTGATTACATGATCAATGAAGAGTGAGGGAGAAACAATAACCTTCAGACATCGTAGGCCTGGAGGACTGGACCGTGACTCACGGTACATTACGTGCCTATATAATAACCTCCTGTCCCCTTCCTCTCTCCCCCCCCAGCGGCCTCTCCGTTCCTGCTGGGCCGAGCCCTGTGGGCGGCCAGTCGCTTCACAGCAGCCATGTCCCCTGAGCTCATCCAGCAGTTCCTCCAGGCCACCGTAAGCGGCCTGCACGACAGTCAGCCCCCCTCAGTCCGCATCTCAGCCGTACGCGCCATCTGGGGGTGAGGGAGATCAAAGTTCAACACTTGGGATATACCTTGATAGTTCTGGCAAGCTGTAGATTCCACTCCTTCAGTCATCATCATAATAACAGTAAGCTAGGCCAGGTAGAAGCAGTGATGGCATACAGTAGATAGATGGATAAATCCCTCTAGTTTGTCACCCAACTAGCCAGACAACACAAACCGTCACTACACCATAACAGTAAATGTGTTGGTATGCAGGTGGTAATTCTGTGTGTGCTCTCCTCAGGTACTGTGACCAGTTGAAGCTGTCCGAGAGTACCCACGTCCTGCAGCCGTTCCTTCCTGCTGTTCTGGAGGGGCTGGTGCAGCTGGCAGCCCAGTTCAGCTCCGAGGTGCTCACCCTGGTCATGGAGACCCTGTGTATCGTCTGCACCGTGGACCCTGCCTTCACCACCAGCGCAGAGAACAAGATCTGCCCCCTCACCATCGCCATCTTCCTCAAGTATAGTAACGGTAGGTAACTATAGTAACCTTGGCAGTTGGCGCTCTTGTCTTTTTATTATTAGTGTATCATAGGTGCATTGAGGTATTACCATATGGCTTACATCTATCCAATCCTAACAGATCAACACTTGTGCCTCCATATCTAACTCTCCCTCCTCTCCCCAGACCCGGTGGTGGCGTCTCTGGCCCAGGACATCTTTAAGGAGCTGGCCCAGATCGAGGCTTGCCAGGGCCCCATGCAGATGCGCCTCATCCCCACCCTGGTCAGCATCATGCAGGCCCCGCCTGACAAGATCCCCTCCGGTCTGTGTGCAGTAAGTCACCGCTGGCTTGGTGCCACCAGCTACTATGGAAGTCGTTAATTTACAGCAGCACTGTGTGTCGGGGTCTAACAGGGTTGGTGTCAGCTCCATTGGTAGTGGTCACCAAGCCAGGGCCTAGAGGAATTAGGTTACAGGGGTGTGAAGGCTTTTATTCCAGCCAGGTACTTAAACATATGATTGAACTAATCAAGTAATCATTTCCTTGACTTAGTTCAATCTGGTGTGTTAGTGCAGGGCTGGAATAAAAGCCTGCACTCTCCAGGACCATGGTTGGTGACCACTCTAATCTGGCCTCCTTATTTACTATCAGCGTTTAGGGTCCTAGTCAGTCATATAGTGACAGTTGTCTCCTGTGTTCTCCCTGACAGACCGCCATAGACATCTTGACCACGGTGGTCCGACACACCAAACCCCCGCTCTCTGAGATGCTGGTCTGCCAGGCCTTCCCTGTGGTGGCCCAGTGTACCCTCCGCACGGATGACAACACCACCATGCAGGTACACACATACACACACACTGAGGACCCAAAGATGTTAATACCAACTGTTGTTATACCAGTACACTTTGTAATTATATATTTTCCCCCCCTGTATGTATTAATTCATGGAAATTAAATGAACTCTAACCCATCCTCTTCAGAACGGTGGTGAGTGTCTGCGGGCGTATGTGTCAGTGGCCCTGGAGCAGGTGGGCCAGTGGAGGGACACGGAGGGCCACAGTGGTCTGTGGTACGTGATGCAGGTGGTCAGTCAGCTACTTGACCCCAGGACATCAGAGTTCACCGCTGCCTTCGTGGGCCGCCTGGTGTCCACGCTGATCGCCCGCGCCGGCACCGAGCTGGGAGAGCAGTTAGACCAAATCCTCAGAGCCATCCTCAGCAAGATGCAGCAGGCCGAGACCCTCAGCGTCATGCAGGTAGGAAGCAACACTTCTGTTTGTCTTTCTCTGGAACTTTGCTCTCTAAATCTGTCAGAGGGAATTCAGTGTTCTCAGGGATGTTGAGGTTTCAACCCGCCAAGCTGTCAGTATTCAGTTTATACTCATCTGTTGTCTAGTGACTTGCGTCATGGTTATTCAGCAATTACTTTGACACCCATATAGACCCTGCTAATATTGGACTCCTCTCCCCACTCTCTGATAATCTCTCTCCTCCTCTCCCCCCCAGTCTCTGATCATCTCTCTCCTCCTCTCCCCCAGTCTCTGATCATGGTGTTTGCCCACCTGGTCCACTCTCAGCTGGAGCCTCTGTTGGAGTTCCTGTGCAGTCTGCCGGGTCCCACGGGGAAACCAGCCCTGGAGTTTGTCATGGCTGAGTGGATGAGCCGACAGCACCTCTTCTACGGACAGTACGAGGGCAAAGTCAGGTGAGGGCTTAGGGCTGTCCCTGGAGCATCCACAGTCCTCAAGATGGATGGTAGAGTAGAATATGACTGTTTTCCACCTGGTGAAGAAAAGGTGTGTTCCTCTCTGTATTCCCCTTTCCACCTTTATGAATAGGGATTTATCCTTTTTTCAGTTTATAATGTTTGTGTTTCCCCCTCTCCTGTTGTCTCTGTGTAGTACGGTGGCCCTGTGTAAGCTGCTGCAGCACGGCCTCAACACCAACGACAAGCGTCTCCAGGACATCGTGGTCAAGGGAGAGGAGATCTTTGGCCCTGACGAGGGCATCCGCACACGCTCCAAGTCTGCCAAGAGTACGACCCGCAGCTCACTTGACTAATTTAGCATGTAGTACGCAAAAAATCGAATATAAGAGAATAAAACTGTTCACATTTGCACATGGTAATTAAATTGTCTTTATGAAAGAATGACCCTCATAAGCACCCTTCTCCCCCATTCTCTTGTCTAATGTATGACAAAGACAAGGGGTGGATTGGCTATATGTTTCTGTTGGTGGGCCAACTCTTTGATCGTATGGACATCTTACAGTGTGGCTGTAAGGTCTCTGTCTGTCTTTCCCCAGATCCAGAGAAGTGGACCAACATTCCATTGCTAGTGAAGGTCTTTAAGCTGATCGTCAATGAGCTGTCTTCTGTGGTGGAGGCCAACACGACCAGAGCTGCCGCAGCAGACTGGAGTCAAGGTCAGGGCTATGGCGGTCATTACATGTTGTCAGCCGGCGATTGTCATTCAAGTAACTGCCGGTCTCACAGTAATTGACCGTGAATTAACATAAACACCTTTAGCATCTCTGGCTTCCACACATAGCCTACAACCCACTGGTGCTGACCTTTTGAGACATTTACATTTGTAAAAAGTCTTAATATATCCATTTAATATAGCCTACAACATCACATCATAAATCCATTATTTATTTTAGGCAGATTTAAAGAAAATGTAATCCTTATGTTAGGCCCTGATCTGGCTATGCCATATGGCTGTGGACTACACTAGTTCATTTAGCAGGCAAGATTTGCTTAGAATTCCCATGGCATTATTTTATAGTATGAACAATACAATTGAACATAGCTAAATAGAAAGCATATTTTCCCCAAACGATTTGAGGTAGTGCGCATATGCAGCTGTTCTGTGTTGAGCAGTTAACAAAGAAACAGGTCCTCCTATTATGCTTAATTTAGAGTTATTTATGCAACTTTAGTTGTGATAAACGTTGGGCTATATGTTTTGATTTTTAATACATTCTAAGGCTGCATGATGCGACGAATGACGATTTGAAAAAAGTCTCATGAAAGGGAGGCGCTCTGTTTCTTGCGCAGGCTGCACACACTTCATCAGTCTCTCATTCACAATTTGTCAAGGACTTGATAATATGCTCACGCAGTATTCTCAATTTAATATTCTCTTTACGTATAGCCTACGAAGACACATGACTAAAAGTATGTGGACACCTGCTCGTCAAACATCTCATTCCAAAGTCATGGGCATTAGTATGGAGTTGGTCCCACCTTTACTGCTATAACAGCCTCCACTCTTCTGGGAAGGCTTTCCACTAGATGTTGGAACATTGCTGCAGGGACTTAATTCCATTCAGCCACGAGCATTAGTGAGGTCGGGCACTGATGTTGGGCGTTTAGGCCTGGCTTGCAGTCGGAGTTCCAATTCGTCCCAAAGGTGTTCGATGGGGTTGAGGTCAGGCCTCTGTGCACCCCAGTCAAGTTCTTCCACATTGATCTCGACAAACCATTTCTGTATGGACCTCGCTTTGTGCATGGGGCATTGTCATGCTGAAACAAGAAAGGGCCTTCCCCAAACTGTTGCCACAAAGTTGGAAGCACAGAATCGTCTAGAATGTCATTGTATGCTGTAGCGTTAAGATCTCCCTTCACTGGAACTAAGGAGCGTGAACCATGAAAAACAGCCCTAGACCATTATTTATCATCCACCAAACTTTACAGTTGGCACTATGCATTGGGGCAGGTAGCGTTCGCCTGGCATCCGCCAAACCCTGATTTGCCGTTGTTGCTCCTAGACATTTCCACTTCACAATAACAGCACTTCCAGTTGACCGGGGCAGAGCTCTAGCAGGACAGTAATTTCATGAACTGACTTGTTGGAAAGGTGGCATCCTATGACGGTGCCACGTTGAAGGTCACTGAGCTCTTCAGTAAGGCCATTTTACTGCCAATGTTTGTCTATAGAGATTGCATCGCTGTGTGCTCGATTTTATACACCTGTCAGCAACGGGTGTGGCTGAAATATCCGAATTCACTCATTTGAAGGGGTTCCACATACTTTTTTTTATATATAGTGTATATGTGTGGAATTATTTTTTATTTAGAATGACCCACAATATAATACAATGCCAGGTAGGCAACAACGTTTGTAAAGCGGGTTAATGTGCTTAATGTTTTAGAATTTAGCAATAAATATAGCAGGACTACAAAAAATGGCATCCGCTTGTATTATATAGTGGCCAGTCAAAACTCTGTTGAATTGAAATACATTTGCCAAAGTTATAGAATTACTGCTGTCTGTTCAGAAATACATTAAATCATTCATAATAGCCTACTACACCATGAGAAGGTCTATAATTTAGCCGCAGACGATCAATAGCTTCTTTTTTTTACTTTTTTTGCCTACCTGTGGATTGTGTGTAGCCCAATAACAAGGCATAGCCTACAGTCGAGAACGCGCATCAAATACAGTGAACAGCATGCAGACAAAACAGGCCTTTTGCAAGATTTTAAAATACTATTGTGGAAAACCGGTTAGAAAGCAAATGGCTTCTGCAGAAAAGAGAAGTAAAATATGTATGCTGTAGGCTAAGAAATATTTGATCATCTTCCAAATATTATTTTACGAAGTAAAACTAGAGATCGGCTTTTGGCATGAACGCATCGGCCATCACCAGCGAGTGAGCTGCGCATCATTGGGTGAGTCAGTGAATCTGGAAAGCATTTTTAGGACTATCATTTCCTCATATTGTAGCCTACAGTATGTACCTCTCCACACACACCTAGGCCTTGGCTATTGATGGATTCAAGACAAGGTCGTTTTTATTGATCTCAGTTTGTCAGTGTCAAAGTAGCCTATCATTTAGATAATTTGTACAGTATTAAAATAGATTTACAATTGCATGAAATGCGTTTATAAAAGGCCAAAATTTTCCAGGATCCTAGGCTACTAAAAATGTTCCCCATGTGTGCAACTTCTGTAAGTGCATCAACTCTACTGCTCTATGCCACTACGCAAATGTGATGATATGCATGCAATGCTTTATTATAAAGGTCAATGTTTGTTTTTGTTAGATTTCTTTTTTTTTTTTTATGTGTTCCGGTACCTCAGAGCTCCCCAGGTCAACCCACTCTCAAGCTCAGTTTTTGTTCCGGCACCTCCCGATTTGACAAATTAAGCACTGGTCTTTACATATACTAAATAATGTGTGTGAAATTAGTTTTGATTTAGAATGGTCCATTATCATGCACCTGTCGGAAGAGGGGTAAAAAATACATGTCATCCATATGCACTTGAATAGCAAATGGAGGACACTTTTCCCGTGGTTCATTTTCATGCCAGCCAGGTAGGCTACCCTGGTTGTAAAGCGAAGCAATGTGCTTAATATATGGAATGTTGAGAAATAAATATAGTAGGCCTAGCCAATAGAAAAATGACGGGATCCTCCTCATTGTAATAGAGGCCATCAAAACTCTGTTTTCTCATGTAATTGCATAGCCTATAGAAATGTTGCGGAACAGGAACACTTATTTTATTCCATGCACCAACCAGCTATGAGGAGCTAGCTCTCGCTGCGCAACAGGGGATCCTATTCCACTCAAACTCTGAATGCCAGGGCTCTCATGAAGTGTTTGATTTGATTTTCGATTGCCTTTGCATTGATGTCAGTGACAGTAGAGCGCTGATGACCATCAGAGCGCAGTTTTGGAGAAGCCTAGTTACCGTGACTCAACGGTCACATGGAAGTTGACTGCGGTCATGACTGCAGGTGTAACGGTAATACGGTCACCGTAACAGCCCTAGTCAAGGTGATGCATCACAGCTATGCCACAGCCACACGTCACACACGTCAATGTCTCTTTTTGGCCTTGAAGATAGAGTTCAGCCAAATTACACAATTATACTGAACAAAAATATAAAAGCAACATGTAAAGTGTTGGTCCCATGTTTCATGAGCTGAAATAAAAGATCCCAGAAATTGTCCATATGCACAAAAAGCTTAATTCTCTCAAACGTTGTGCACAAATTTGTTTACATTCCTGTTAGTGAGCATTTGTCCTTTGCCAAGATAATCCAGTCACCTGACCGGTGTGGCATATCAAGAAGCTGATTAAACAGCATGATCATTACACAGGTGCACCTTGTGCTGGGGACAATAAAAGACCACTCAAAAATGTGCCGTTTTGTCACACAAGACAATGCCACAGATGTCTCAAGTTTTTAGGGAGCGTGCAATTGACATGCTGACTACAGGAATGTCCACCAGAGCAGTTGCCAGAGAATTGAATGTTAATTTCTCATTTTAGAGAATTTGGCAGTACGTCCAACTGGCCTCACAACCGCTGACCACGTGTAACAACACCAGCCCAGGACCTTCATATCTGACTTCTTCACCTGCGGGATCATCTGAGACCAGCCACCTGCACAGCTGATGAAACTGAGTTTGCACAACCAAAGGATTTCTGCACAAACTGTCAGAAACCGTCTCAGAGAAGCTCATCTGCGTGCTCGTCGTCCTCAGCAGAGTCTTGACCTGACTGCAGTTTGGCTTCGTAACTGACTTCAGTGGGCAAATGCTCACCTTCGATGACCACTGGCACGCTGGATTGTGCTCTTCACGGATTAATCCCGGTTTTAACTGTACCGAGCAGATGGCAGGCAGCGTGAATGGAGTTGTGAGGGCGAGTGGTTTGCTGATGTCAACGTTGTGAACAGAGTGCCCCATGGTGGCGGTGGGGTTATGGTATGTGCAGGCAGGCATAAGCTACGAGCAACAAACACAATTGCATTTTATCGATGGCAATTTGAATGCACGGAGATACTGTGACGAGATCCTGATGCCCATTGTCGTGCCAAATAAAAATTAAAAATGGTGTTCTATGACCAACAGATGCATATCTGTATTCCCAGTCACGTGAAATCCATAGATTAGGGCCTAATGAATTTATTTCAATTGACTGATTTTCCTTATATGAGCATGTTGCGTTTATATGTTCAGTGTATACAGTGGGGAGAACAAGTATTTGATACACTGCCGATTTTGCAGGTTTTCCTACTTACAAAGCATGTAGAGGTCTGTCATTTTTATCATAGGTACACTTCAACTGTGAGAGACGGAATCTAAAACAAAAATCCAGAAAATCACATTGTATGATTTTTAAGTAATTCATTTGCATTTTATTGCATGACACAAGTATTTGATACATCAGAAAAGCAGAACTTAATATTTGGTACAGAAACCTTTGTTTGCAATTACAGAGATCATACGTTTCCTGTAGGTCTTGACCAGGTTTGCACACACTGCAGCAGGATTTTGGCCCACTCCTCCATACAGACCTTCTCCAGATCCTTCAGGTTTCGGGCTGTCGCTGGGCAATACGGACTTTCAGCTCCCTCCAAAGATGTTCTATTGGGTTCAAGTCTGGAGACTGGCTAGGCCACTCCAGGACCTTGAGATGCTTCTTACGGAGCCACTCCTTAGTTGCCCTGGCTGTGTGTTTCGGGTCGTTGTCATGCTGGAAGACCCAGCCACGACCCATCTTCAATGCTCTTACTGAGGGAAGGAGGTTGTTGGCCAAGATCTCGCGATACATGGCCCCATCCATCCTCCCCTCAATATGGTGCAGTCGTCCCGTCCCCTTTGCAGAAAAGCATCCCCAAAGAATGATGTTTCCACCTCCATGCTTCACGGTTGGGATGGTGTTCTTGGGGTTGTACTCATCCTTCTTCTTCCTCCAAACACGGCGAGTGGAGTTTAGACCAAAAAGCTCTATTTTTGTCTCTTCAGACTACATGACCTTCTCCCATTCCTCCTCTGGATCATCCAGATGGTCATTGGCAAACTTCAGATCGGCCTGGACATGCGCTGGCTTGAGCAGGGGGACCTTGCGTGCGCTGCAGGATTTTCATCCATGACGGCGTAGTGTGTTACTAATGGTTTTCTTTGAGACTGTGGTCCCAGCTCTCTTCAGGTCATTGACCAGGTCCTGCCGTGTAGTTCTGGGCTGATCCCTCACCTTCCTCATGATCATTGATGCCCCACGAGGTGAGATCTTGCATGGAGCCCCAGACCGAGGGTGATTGACCGTCATCTTGAACTTCTTCCATTTTCTAATAATTGTGCCAACAGTTGTTGCCTTCTCACCAAGCTGCTTGCCTATTGTCCTGTAGCCCATCCCAGCTTTGTGCAGGTCTACAATTTTATCCCTGATGTCCTTACACAGCTCTCTGGTCTTGGCCATTGTGGAGAGGTTGGAGTCTGTTTGATTGAGTGTGTGGACAGGTGTCTTTTATACAGGTAACGAGTTCAAACAGGTGCAGTTAATACAGGTAATGATTGGAGAACAGGAGGGCTTCTTAAAGAAAAACTAACAGGTCTGTGAGAGCCGGAATTCTTACTGGTTGGTAGGTGATCAAATACTTATGTCATGCAATAAAATGCAAATGAATTACTTGGGGGATTTTCTGGATTTTAGTTTTAGATTCCGTCTTTCACAGTTGAAGTGTACCTATGATAAAAAATTACAGACCGCTACATGCTTTGTAAGTAGAAAAACCTGCAAAATCGGCAGTGTATCAAATACTTGTTCTCCCCACTGTATATTTACTTCCTGGTAGGCTATAGCCCCCGTCTCCCCTGATCTGCATCAGATGTGCTCATAAATGTGCTGCTACTCACAGAATGTTTCAGAGATCTCAAGTTATGATTGACTACTGCGTGCATTTCATCAAATGCTCTGTCTAAACACCAATAATAATGTGTGCCTCTGGTTCTTTCCCTGTGTTTGGTCCGGACTACGTTCTCACCTGCAGCGAACCGCACCACGGTACGAATTGAATCGGACCGAGACCATCCTTTTTGAACGAATCACGGTGCTTTGTTTAGTGCATTCCCCAGTGCGGATGGTGTTCAAATGAATACCAGTCCAAACGACCAAACTAAGGGGGAAAACGCGCCAGAGTTTGGGAATAATAACTGTCATCAAGGCAAAGGGTGGCTATTTGAAGAATCTCAAATGTAAAATGTATTTTGATTTGTTTAACACTTTTTTGGTTACTACATCATTCCATATGTTATTTCATAGTTTTGATGTCTTCACTATTACTCTACAATGTTGAAAATAGTAAAAATAAAGAAAAATCCTGGAATGAGTAGGTGTGTCCAAACCTTTGACTGGTAGTGTATGTGTGTTTAGTATTGTGAAGGCAAGTAGGCCCCATTGAAGATAATCCCAAGCTGTTTGGTTGTGTCACTGCAGATTCAGGTGGAATGTGGGAGGACCAGGAGGCAGAAGAGGAGGAGGATGATGAGGAGGATGAAGGGCTGGCCGGGCAGCTGCTGTCTGACCTCATTGCTTCCAACAAATATGGTGAGAATAGACCAAAAATAAGTTGATGCTGGATAGTAAACAATGCTGAAAAAGACTTCATATAGTGGAAAAATGTAAAAGCCCTTATTATTTACGGTTTATGTATAGTAAGAATGAAAAATGCATCGACTCGTTGTGGCTACAAAATCATCAGGGTGACAAAACGACTTCCCTCTCTCTCAGGCTCTTCCAGAGGTCTACTCCATCAGTGTAGTAGGCAGCCATCTTGGTTTTGGGGCTCTATCTGCCTTGTTTCACAGGTATCAAACTGTCTTTTTTTAATCTCTCAGATGAAGACTACTATGAGGATGATGATGAGGAGGATCCAGATGCCTTGAAGGACCCCATATATCAGATAGACCTTCAGGTAATGCCTCGCTAATCTGCTCATCTCTCATTCAGATTTAGTTCACACAAACATTACTACTTAGGGCGGATGTGGTTGTGCTCCAACTAATTGACCTTGAGGAAATGTTATAAAGTTGTATTGAACAGATTTCAACGGTGTCTTTGCAGTTGTATTTTAATGTCTTAAATTCACTTTTAAATGAAGTTTGTTGTACTTTGTGTTCCAGGCCTACCTGACAGATTTCCTGACCCAGTTTGCCCAGTCGCCGTGCTACAGCATGTTCTCTGGCCATCTCAACGACGCTGAGAGGAGAGTCCTGCAGACTATTGGCATCTAAACCTGCCCCATCCCCTTCCCTACATCAACCCTACTAGAACACTCTCGCCCAATCACCAACCCCTGAGTGTGGGAGAGGCTCTGATTGGCCAAGCAGTTGTTGATGCTTTACCTACATCTCCAACAGAAGAACATGGGGAGGTAAAGCAGGGAGAAGAGACAGACATGACTTACCCATAACCCCCTGTCTCTCTATTCTGACTTAAAGGATGACCAGGAAAAGACTGCAGACTTGTGGAGGGATGTGACGGACGAGGTTGGAGAGAGGGTGGTGAGGGACACCCTGGTTTGTTCCCAGAGGGCTGGGAGACAGTTGTGGGAGACACCTCCTTAGTGTCTCCTCGCTCCTCTGCCCTATTGTACTTGTGGGAGGACTTTGGAATGTGACGGAGGGGTTGATGTTTTGCAATGGGACAGGCAGACAGGGCGGCTGTGATATATGAACAGAGTCTTTACTGTGTCCCATTTGTAACTCGACCCACTTATTTCTGTGCTTCTGTAAAAATAAAAATAAATCTTCCAAGAGACAAAAGAAAGTTCATGACGACGGACAGACAAAGAGAAACATATCTTTGAGACTGAGTAAGAAACATTGGTGGCCTTACTTTCAGAAACCATTGACTTTTCTGATTGGGATGAAAACCTTGAGGACTTCTGGTCGCTACTGGGGCCTGGGTGGTTATGGGGGATTCACACCGTTGCCATGGTGACTCACAGCCCTTTCATTTCCTTTTACCCACCAGTTGGGATTACATTTCTCAATAAAAGTCCCAATAGGACACCATTTTTTGTTTCCATCGTTATTTGGTCACTTTCCCAGATAGTGAAAAATGGCAGTACAAGAGACATTTGTACTCCTATTTTAGGGTGTTTTCACACTTGGTCCCTTTCAGCCAATTTTTGGGTACTCAGTGCGGTTCACTTAATTTGTTGTGCTAAGTGCACACTCCAAAGAAACTTGGACCCCTCAAAAGAGCATTCGAAGCGAACCGAACGGAGACATCTCGAGAGGTGGTTTATGTTCGGTTTGCTTTAATTCCGTGGTCCGGTTCCCTATTTTAGAGCAATGTGAACACAAAGCTCCCCAGGTTCGCTTGTCACTATTCCTGCACCACACACTAGACTACTGCAACAGCGTTTCCCCTGCCATAACCCCTCACATTGGTGCCACAAAAGAGAGAAGATGATGATGTGCAGGTTCGTGGAAAAAATGTGTGCTGTTTTTGGATATTCATTAGCAATTGTCAAGGATGCACAGAAATGCCCAAATATGTGTGGCATTTTGTACAGACACTATGTTCAGATTATTTGTTTGCGATGTGTTATCTATAAACTAAGGGAGCTTCATAAACTGTTTATTCGATTTTGGGGTTTGAATAGTGTGAAGAATTAGCACTAACCACAAAGTCAACGCTAGCTCTTAAAGGGGCAGTAGCCTACATTGAGTGCAATTTTCAAGTACAGCATTATTTAATATGCAGTATTCTGCTATTTATTGTTACCAATAATATTTAAATGTTAATATTATATTTGGATTATAATTATCTAATCTTTTAACTAAATACAATCTATTAGCTTCCAAAATGTAAGTAGGTATATCTAGCTGTCCGATAACACGTTCTGATGGAATGGCTTGCCCTGTACTTTGTAAAAACCCAGAGTGCATTGAGTGAACGTCGGAAAAAGATCTTGGTTCCTTTCTAAACAAAGCAATGTGAATACAAAGAGGACTCGGCCCACAAAATAGGTGAAGTGAACTGGCAAAAGAGTTGCGCATTCAAGGGCAGAGTGAATACAAAGAGAATGGAGTAATTTTGCTTATTTTGTTGTATCTTTCCAAATCCAGATTTGTGTTCGTTGTCTGTAGTCTATGGCTGCTCATACCGTATGTTGTGATTTCTGTTGTTGGTTTGGTTGACATTTCCTTTAGGGCCTTGAAGCATTTGACACTTCATTGCAATCTCTTTCCAGAAGAATTTGGTGAGTGTTTCTTCTTCAAATGAATGATGTGCTGTCATAAGTGTTGGCAGTCACACGGTGCCTCTAATCAAATGTGAATTATAAGGACATAAAGCTGACATGCATTACATAAATATAATTTTTAGTTGTTCTTAGATTATCCTGCTTGTAAATTGGCTTTTGTGTAAGAGAATGGCAAATGCAGGACTTATATTGCCATAATTGTTTTATGATTGCAACTTTTATTAATATTTTGAATAATAAAAAAGATGCTAAAACTGAATAACTTGAAAAAAAATGCACGAGTAATTATAGGAAATATAGAACAACCATTGTATTGGAAATACTGATTTTATTTTGTGAACTACTGGTTTGGGGTAATTTACACATTCTTATACAGCGTACCCGTCTAAAAAGAACAGTCAGCTCAGCTGTCACTAAACGCAACAGGAGGGTTCTCATCCTGTGGACTGTAGGATGCTGTTCTGTCTGTTATCTTCCAAAAATGCAAGATGGAATAATGTGCAATGTATTCCTTCCACCGGAGGCGGGGGAGGCGCTAAGGAATCCCATTGGGTCTCACTGGGTGAACGGCGTCACAGGCGATGTTATTCTACCCAGATGTTGTTGATCACTAACCTCGTTCCTGACTATCATGTAATTCCACAATTTGAGCATGATTATAGAGATTGTTATTTACAGCGGCGTATGGCGCGAAATAGCTGTTAAATCTGCCATTGGTTTTGCGGAAAAATCAACAATTTATTCATTTTGCACAGTATGTTGACAGTGGGCAAGATGTCCCTAATCGCTATGGCTCTGCCGGTGATCACCGTCCTTCTCTCCGCCTGGCAGGGTAAGTATTGACAATGCTGCTTGGTTTTTCTAACAGGCCGCACTAGGCTACATTTCTTGATACATTGTGTACGTGTTGCAAGAATGTATCCATCCGTACATTGTAGCGGTCGAATCCACTCGACACCTAGGGCTTAAATGGATCCAGATGATGTCTGAACGTTCCAAGAGGTGTCAAAGCCATAGAAATAATATACATGAATTATATTTCTATGGTCCAGACAGTATTAATGCATTTTTAGTTTACCGCCTATTTTACCAATATTTATTTATAGACCTTTTGATATGTTTATTAAATAAATTGATTTTTCTATTTAAGAATTGCTATTCAGATATGGTGGTCTCAAATGTGAAACGAATGATAGACAGATATTCCCACGCCTACGTAGACAACTGTTCTTCTGTTAAAGGCCTAACGTTATCTATTATTATTTAATTTCGTAGTTTTATCTTGAATAGATTGACCTGTTTATTGAAAATTAATTAAGTGAATTTTATTAATCACAAAATAAGCTGTAAATCAAACAATATTAGAACCCATTGGTGTCAAAACAATACATAATTGTCAGAAGTGATCAGGATAACAAATCTCATTTTAATTTGATTGATCAGTTGATTTAATCTAATTTACTGTTTTAATAAATGACATTATATATACAGTATATTGCACTAAATGGGGATTGACCTAATTCAATTCACATGGTTTCATATGACATGGGCTCAAAGAGATTCCTCTGTAGTCCCTTGGGCCAGAAGGAAATTACATTATTGAAGGAGGAACTTACTAATATGGGTTGGGAGGGACCTCTATGCAGGTGGCACAATGACTTATATCACCAGGCCCAAAATGACAGCCTGCTGCCTGTAACCTCTGATAATGTTTACTGTGTCATTCTCCAACCTCCTTCAAGTGTAATTACACAGTAGTTATTCAGCTGTTTGGTGTCTAAATCTATTAAGAACCCTGAGTTGTCTCAGGACGAGTGTAATCCGCTTTCTATTGCCTCTGTAAGACCACCCTTCTAAGTGTGTCTCTGTCTCTGTCTGCAGTGGGTGCCAGTGATGACTGCTTGTGGTATGTGGATAAAAATGGCACTTGGCACAACGGGGTCCCCTGTCCCCTCATGACCTTCTGTTGTGGGAACTGCCACAAGCGCTACTGTTGCCTGGATGGCCTCAAGAGGATTACTGAGAGGGAGCAGAAGCGCTGCATGCTCTTCCAGTTCAGGTGTGTGTAGGGGTGTGTGTGTGTGCGTCACTGGCTAAACGTCAGAGCCTCTTACAATTAGTGAGTGCACACATTTTTCATACTGGCCCCCCGTGGGAAACGAACCCACAACCCTTGCGTTGCAAGCGCCATGCTCTACCAACTGAGCTACAGGAGGGCCATTTTGAGTTATCTCTCTGTATTCCCTCTCGGAGATGTTGCAACACTGAAGATTTTACACAGCATTAAAAGCTTCCATCACGTAACACTGAGCACACTGGGAGCGTTGACACCCAACTGGAGGTCAGGGTGTTGTCCAGTAAGGAGAAAACATTTAAAATGGAGTGAAACACGGAGGTACTACTTTACTTGTCCAATAAGAAAAGTTTATTTTTTTGTTTTCCGTTCGTCCTACTGAACATGATCCAGTTAAGGTGAAGCAGAAGAACCCTCTGCACCTACTTCTATGTTACAGTGGGGGGAAAAAGTATTTAGTCAGCCACCAATTGTGCAAGTTCTCCCACTTAAAAAGATGAGAGAGGCCTGTAATTTTCATCATAGGTACACGTCAACTATGACAGACAAAATGAGAAAAGAAAATCCAGAAAATCACATTGTAGGATTTTTTATGAATTTATTTGCAAATTATGGTGGAAAATAAGTATTTGGTCACCTACAAACACGCAAGATTTCTGGCTCTCACAGACTTGTAACTTCTTTAAGAGGCTCCTCTGTCCTCCACTCGTTACCTGTATTAATGGCACCTGTTTGAACTTGTTATCAGTATAAAAGACACCTGTCCACAACCTCAAACAGTCACACTCCAAACTCCATTATGGCCAAGACCAAAGAGCTGTCAAAGGACACCAGAAACAAAATTGTAGACCTGCACCAGGCTGGGAAGACTGAATCTGCAATAGGTAAGCAGCTTGGTTTGAAGAAATCAACTGTGGGAGCAATTATTAGGAAATGGAAGA